ATTTCTATTTCCTCATTATCTAACGAAATAGATTCTTCAGTTGTTTTAACAACTTGTTTTAATCCTAATTTTTCAAAAGTGCCTAACTGATATACAGTTTTTAATTCAATCTTTGGAATCGTCCATTTATTCAATTCTTCTAAATTTTCAGGAATATCATATTCTTGTTTTAGACTATTTTTAACAGTCTTCTTGTTCTTTTGTATCAAATTCATTTGAATATCAGGAGCGGTTGTTGGGATAAGGATCAGCAATTACAATTCTTCTCATGGCTCTGATACCATCTCTAAAGAGTAGGACATAGACTAATTCAGGAAACCTAAGCCAAATAGGGAAGATTACAGAGCAATTAAGTCCGTCAACATGAGTAGTTATAAGTAAACTGGGATCAACGCCCTTGACGCCTTTCTCAAATAACATAAGTTAATTTATAAAAATTATTTTATTTCAAAATAATGTAGTAAATTTTGAATATTTATTTTTTAAGTGCATTAAGATAAAATGATTAATATAGTATTGTTTTAACTTCATTTATGATATATTTTGAAAAATATTTAAATTATATAATTTAAAAAATATGGATTGAAGAGTATTTTTGACCATTTATATAAAATTGATGATCATATTAGCATGTTGAAAGGGTATTTTGTTAGTTGACTATAAGTCAAGGGTTATTTGATAGTATTATCTGAATTCAAAGAGTTTATGGTAGATCTAGCTAAAACTAAGGGATAAAAGGTAGTTCACCGAAGATTTAAAAGTAGTGTAAATTAGTTAGTAGGCCTTTTTTTAATAACTTTTTTTTCGAAAAACAAGAATGATATTAAAATTAGAAGAAAGGTAAATCATCCAAATAGCAAAGCAATACATCTAGGATTGAGATACACATCTACATCGAGCTATTACAATTTGCCTCACGAGACTTTCCTTTATCTTTACAACCTTGACTCTATGTTGCTCTCTCTATATCTTTATTCCTTATCCGATAGTCCATCATATCTATTAAGGAAACATCTAAAAATAACATAGAAAAATAAATAAATAAAACCTCCTAAAGAGGAGGATCCGAGATCTCTCACCGGAGAACCGATACACCCATCCTAGGGTGAGCAGAAACATCCATTAAAGGGTAACCAAAACTTCAAAAAATGAAAGGGCTAAGACTCCCAAATAGGAGAGTTAACTACAACACAAAAAACTGAAAATAAAAAGGGTAAATTTGAGTTCCCCATCCCCATTAATGGCTGATGAGATAAATGTTGGAATATATCAAATGAGGAAGAAAAAACAAAAAAGAAAAGAGAACTATTATTAAAAAAAAGTAGCTGATAAACTTTTATTGCAGTGTTCACTTTATACTCAAATAACTAGGATACTTTTTATAGGCTTTACAAAATAACCAACAAGAGAAAAAGTAGGACTCAATCTAAACAAAGTTGACTCAAACTGCAAACCAAAAAATTAGGAATTCAACAAACTAAATCTTAGACGAAGTTTATTTTGAATCATTCTCCAACACTCTCCCATGATTCAAAGTAGCAAAAACTTTTGATGCGAATGAAAAAAAAAAACGAATTTTGACACACTTTCTCGTCAAATATGTTAATGCACTTTCTCACCAACCTTGTTGATGCACTCTCTCACCAACCAAACAATTTTGGAGCATTTTTCGTATTTGTTGATGCACCTTCTCACCAACCTTCTTTAAAAAAAGTGTTTCTTCTTCAATTTCCAACATAATATTGGCTTGTTCTTCAATTTTAGTCCTTCAATTTATTTTTAGGTGTCCAAATCTTTTGCACTTATAGCATTGAGGCTTTCCTCTAAACCAGCACTTCTTTTCTTTATGACCCGATTTCTTGAAATTTTCATATTTAGGGATTTTACCCTTCCCTTTTGAAATCCTTGCCATATAAGTTCCATCAATTACTTGTTCTTTTATATTATTTCTCATAATTCTTCTTTGCTCTTGTGTTTGTAGAGAGCTGATCAATTTCGATGGAGTCATTGTACTTACATCTTTTGATTCTTCAAGAGACGAGATTTTTGCTTCAAATTTTTATGGCAAGCTCACTAGCATCTTTTCTATAATCATGCTGTCAGGTAGTTACTCTTCCATCAAACGAATTTTGTTCACCACTGTTATCAATCTTTCAGAATAGTTCTCTACAGTTTCTTCTTCTTTCATGCTTAAAAACTCAAAGTCTCTTTTAATATTCAAGGCCTTCATTTTTTTCGTCTTCTCATCACCTTGATATTGTTGCTACAGAATATTCCAAGCTTCCTTTGCTTTTTCACAAGTCATAATTGTTGTGAAAACTGATTCCGAAACGGCTGAAAATATTATTGATAAAGCTCTTGGAGCCTTCGTTTCTTTTTCTTCATGAGCCTTGATCTGAGAAGTGTCAGATTGTTACCTAGAGGTGGTAATTCCATCTCATTAGCAACCCACTGCCAAAGACCAAGACCCTTTAAATGAGCTTTCATTTTGACATTTTGATAATTCCCACCTTTGAAAATTGGTGGCGGAGGAAAATGAAAAATTATTGGAAGCCATAGTTTTTTCTTTTTTTTTTATTCCACAGGATCTCAGGATCAAAAAGCTCTGATACCATGTTGGAATATGTCAAATGAGGAAGAAAAAATAAAAAAAAAGGAACCATTGTTGAAAGACAGTGGCTAAGAACAAATAACTAGAATACTTTTTATAGACTTTACAAAATAACCAACAAGAGAAAAAGTAAGACTCAATCTAAATAAAGTTGACTCAAACTGCGAAACAAAAAAATCAGGAAATTTAACAAACTAAATCTTAAACTAAGTTTACTTTGAATCATTCTCCAACGATAAAAAGAGAAGGACAACTACATTTTACCCCGAGTAACTTTTCTTCCTTCAAGCATTTTTCTTTTTTTTACTTTGACGATTTGAACGTCGGCGTTCTCTTTTCTTTCTTCTTTTTATTTTATTTGATTTCTTAAAAGTTTTTTCCTTTGAGTACTGGCGATTTCTTCTTATTTTCTTTTTGTTTTATATTATTTTGTAGTTTTTTCCTTTGAGCGTTGGCATTTTCCTCTTCTTCCTTTTTTAATTATTTTTTTCCTTTCAACACTAGGCATGATTGCTCTTCTTTTTGTTTTTATTTTTTTTGCTTTAAGGGCTTTTTGTCCAACTAGTTTATGTTTTTATGTATTGTAAATTGACAAGTATAGTACAAATCAATTTAATAATTATCAATGAGATCTATACATTAATATTAATATTGCATTTTTTTCACAAAAAATGACAAATATAACTACATCAGGACTTTATTAAACAAAATTAAGAAATAATTGTACCAATTTTGGATTAAAATTTCCTTTATTATGTTATGACACATTAGTCATTCTAAAATTTTTATGAACTTTTTCTAAAAAACTGTTTCATATGTACACCTATGTTATATATATATGTATACAAATATAACTACATCAGGACTTTATTAAACAAAATTAAGAAATAATTGTACCAATTTTGGATTAAAATTTCCTTTATTATGTTATGACACATTAGTCATTCTAAAATTTTTATGAACTTTTTCTAAAAAACTGTTTCATATGTACACCTATGTTATATATATATGTATATATATATATATATATATATTCAATAATATGTGACATCCTTTCGCAAAAAATTATAAAGTTTTCAATATTTTTAAATTTATATTTTTTTATATATAATTCTATGATAAAAATTATAATGATTAGAATACACATATTAATGTCAATTTATATACAAATGAACACTAATATGCATAAACTGCCTTTTATATTAAGTATCAAATTTCAAAAAAAATTTGAAATTTTAAAATTTTAAAAATAATTAAAGGGAGAGTAACATGGACGTTTTGTTTTTTACTTGTTGTGTGTTGAGTGAAAATGTTAAGTATTATATTAACAATTCCTACATAATCAAAATTTATTTTTCTATAAATATGTATGTACATAATAAATTACAAAATTGATAACAAATTAAATAAAAAAGTACACTTTTTCAAAAGTAAAAATTGTACTAGCTAGACTACAACAAAGTAATTTTAATATAAAATTCTCAAGCATCCAAGCACGAGTATCAGTATTGCAACCTAATTTCTCACCGATTGTTTAGATCTACCAAACAATTGAATTAGGATTGAATTGTGATATCAATACCTTATTTACAATTTTATAAGATTTTAATTCTAATTCAATTTCTATTTTATTAAGCAAATGCAATCTTACAGATTTTGCTTGGAGAAAGAGATATTTGTGCTTCACTCTTATAAGTTATTACCTCTTTCCTAACAAAATACTTCATCTGCCCCAAAAAGATAGTATACATTGACTTTAAAATACTCTCACAAATCATTTTAAGTTTTCAATGTGGACTTTTTTTTTTTTTTGAAGTACAAATTTGAAATTTAAATGTGGACTATTTAAAAAAAAAAACAAAAGCAATAGTTCACATAGACTTTTCAAATAAATATTATTTTTAGTATAAATTTTAAAATTTAATGTAAACTATTTTTCTTTTAAGGACAGAAGTATAATTTTTTGACATAATGATATATTGAAAACGATAATAATAAAATAGTGTTAGTTGTTGGAAAAATGTTTTGGCACGTACTGCTTGTAATTCGGTTTCTAGCCACGTTTTCTTGTAAATACTATATGATGTACTTATTATAACTATATTTTTCTTCGATTCAATATAATTTTTTACTTACTATAATAGAATTATGATGAAATAAAATTCAATAATCATTTTAGAAGGAATGCAACACCTAAATTCTAAAATTAATAAAGAAAAAGAAAGAGTTGCCTGTGGAAAAGCCTTAGTAACTACGTATGGGTGGAAAAGACAATGGTTTCATGAAAGAGTTGCCTATAATGGGAACCTTATTGTTAGATAATAGGGTCTTTATTGTTAGGTTTAAAAATATGAAAGGTAAGAACGCAGTACTGGGGAGCCATTTTCATATGGATAGTAAACCTTTGATCGTAAAGGATTGGTCGGTTGAAGCTGGCTTCAAGATGGAGGATGTTCTAAAAGTTCCCATCTGGATTAAACTTCCTGGGCTGAAGTTGAGATACTGGAACCCCAAAACACTCAGCAGGCTAGCTAGTACTATTGGTAAACCTCTGAAAATGGATGAGTTGACAGCCAATAAAGAACAAGTAGACTTTGCTCGTTTAATGGTTGAAGTGGAAATCAAAGAACACCTTCCTGATAAACTTTGCTTTGAGGATGAGCAGGGGGTGGTTCAAGAATAGATCATAGAGTATGAATGGAAGTCGACCAGATGTGAAGAGTGCAAAGGATATGGACACACTGCTGAAATATGTAGGAAGAAAGCTCTGCAAGTGCAAAATGAGAAGAAAGTTAAAATAGAGTAGAATGTGAATCCAAAGGCAAAGATGAATGAGATCCATACAACCAAAGCAGTTGAATTAGGTAGGGGGAAGACAGAGCTGAGGGCTGGTACAAGTGGAGGGAAAGATAATAAGGCTCCAAAGACGAATAATCAACATAGTGGTAACCCGTTGAATGATTACGGGATTTGGGTGAGTAAGGAGGGGCATGGTGGTGGAACAAAGGGGATTGTTCCCAATGAATAACATCATCATGTGGAATCCAAGGGGTTTGCATAGTCCCCTGAAACAAAGAGAGCTAAAAAACTTAGTCTCATTAAACTATGCAAGTATAATTGGTGTGGTAGAAGTGAAGATGAAAGAAGAGAAGTTGGAAGTGTTCATGAAGAAAGACTGGCCAGATTATGAATATCAAGGAAATAGCAAGAATGGGAGAAGGAATCGAATAGTTGTGATGTAGAACGAGGAAGAGATAAAGATGAATATACTCAGAGTAGATGATCAATTCATACACTGCGAGGTGGAAGACAGATTGGCACCAAGAAGATATTATATGATAGTGGTATATGGATCAAATGCAAGGAATGAAAGGTCACAGCTCTGGAAGGAATAATAGGTATAGGGCAACATATGAAGGAAGCCTGGGTAATCCTAGGGGATTTTAACAATGTATCGAACCAGATGGAGAAAGTTGGGGGATTACCAGTCACAGTAGCAGAAACAGAGGAGTTCAGAATGATGGTGGAGGATTGCCAACTGGAACACCTTACTTCGCATGGGGGTTTCTTTACGTGAACAAGCAATCTGGAGATCAAAGAATTTACGCTAGATTACAGAGTGATGGTAAATGATGAATGCCTGTTGAAATACCATGAGACTTTTGTGACCATTCAGCCAGAAGGACTATCAGACCACTGTCCTTTGGTTATCAAGTGGAGTTACGCAGCATGCAATACGAAGAAATGGTTTCGTTTTTTCAACATGTGGTCAAAAGCAGAGAATTATCTTAGTTTGGTTCAGGGGGTTTGGAATCAAGAAATTGAAGGCAGTAAGCAGTTTCAAATGATCCAAAAACAAAAGTTGTTGAAGCCTCTTCTGAAGGACCTTAATAAAACCAGGTTTGCTAATATTGATCAACAAGCGCTGGCAGCAAAAATTCATATGGAGGACCTGCAGAAAGCCCTACAGATACAGCCTCAGAATGTTGAGCTGCAAGAGAAAGAGAAGGAGGCAATACATCAGTATGTGGAATTGAGCTCACAGGCCTTTAGCTACTGGCAACAGAAGGCTAAGAAAAATTGGGTTCAGCAAAGGGATGAAAATACGACCTTTCTCCATGCAGTTATAAGGAAAAAGCAGAAACGTAAACAAATTTTTTCATATACAAAGGAGGATGGAACAATTGTGGAGGACTGGAAAGACATTGAAGACCATTTTCTAGGGTTTTTTCAAAATCTGTTAGGTAAAGAAGAGCAGAGGGTGGCAGTAAAGCAGGAAGTATGTGACATGGGATCTCAATTGTCAACGGAGCAGCAATTGGAACTTATTAAGGATGTCACAGAAGGTGAGATAAAACATGCAATGTTCGCTATTGATGACACTAAGAGTCCAGGCCCGGACGGCTTCAATAGTGGATTTTATTAGAAGACTTGGGAAGTGGTAGGTAAGAGTACATGTGAAGCAGTTGGGGAATTCTTCAAGTCAGGGACACTACGCGGGGAAATTAATGCGACAGTAATATCATTGATTCCGAAAGTGGAGGCCCCTCAATCAGGAGCTGAGTATAGACCGATATCATGCTGTAATACAGTGTACAAGTGTATTACGAAGGTCCTCAGCAACATGTTATCGAATGTTCGGTCTTGTCTTGTGGATCAGAGTCAGGGGGCTTTCATCAAGGATCGCCTGATTGTACATAATATCCTCCTAATGCAGGAAATGGTACAACTTTATAACAGGAAAAATGCTTCGCCACGGTGTATGATAAAGGTCGACCTCCAAAAGGCTTATGATTCCATTGCTTGAAGTTTTGTGGAAGAAATCCTTACAGCCTATAAGTTTCCAAGTAAGTTTAATTTTTGGATTAAGGAATGTATTACGACTTGTAGTTTTTTTCCTTATGTATGAATGGGGGACTAACAGGCTTCTTTGAAGGGAAAAAAGGGTTTAAGACAAGGGGATCCCATTTCCCCCTTGTTGTTTGTATTGTGTATGGAATACTTGCATAGGCTGTTTAGATTTGAAACTACTCTAGGAGGTTTTCGGTACCACCCTAATGTAAAAGATTGCAGATAACAAATCTCAGCTTTGCTGATGATTTAATCATCCTCTGCAAAGCAGATTTGTTGACAGTTAAGAAGGCTAAGAAAGTTTTAGATGAATTTTCTGCTGCTACTGGCCTGAAAGCTAATATGAGAAAATCTAATATATACTGTGGGGGTGTTAGTGAGGAAGCTAAACTGGAAATCCAGCAAATAACAGGGTTTAGTAGAGGTTCCTTTCAAATGAAGTACCTAGGAGTCCCAATATCTCCTACGAAGTGGAATGCTATCGATTGCCAAGTGTTGGTAGACAAAGTCACTGCTAGGATTAAGTGTTGGACTACTAGGCACTTATCCTACGTAGAAAGGGTGGTGTTAGTGAACGCAGTTTTGCTAACTTTGCATACATATTGGGAATCAATTTTTGTAATACCGCAAAGTGTCATAAAATAGATTGTGAGGTGTGTAGGGACTTCTTTGGGGGAAAAATGAGGCAGGCAAAGCTCATGCCTTGGTGGCTTGGGATGATATATGTAAACCAAAGAAACAGGGTGGTTTAAATTTCAAGGAACCTGGTTTATGGAATCATGCAGCTTTAGGTAAGCAAGTATGGCAATTAGCTGTCAAGAAGGATAACCTCTGGGTTAAATGGTGTCACAAATACTACCTAAAAGGCCAGAATGTGTGGAATTATAAAACATCCCCAGGGGCCTGTTGGTATTGGAAGAGTTTGATGAAAATAAAGGATAGGATGAAGGATGTGCTAGTGCAAGGGAAATGGATAGGGATCAGTTCTGGTGCATACACGACAAAATCTGGTTATATGTGGCTTAGAGGAGAAGGTATGAGAATGCAGGAAGCTGGTATGATCTGGAATAAATACAATATTCGTAAGCACAGTTTTATCCTTTGGTTAGTTATGAGGGGGAGGCTACTTACATCAGACAGGTTACAGAAATTGAATATCATAAGTCAGCCAGTGTTATGTGTTCTCTGCTCAGCTAAAGAGGAAAGCCTTGATCATCTATTCCTTCAGTGCCAATTCTCTAAAGAGCTGTTACAGAATTTGAGAAGATGGATAGGCTGCCCTGTAATACCCGACAAGATCTCTGTTTGGAAGACTAGGCTGAGAAATATATGGCAGAAGTGTAAATGTAAACAGAGAGTGCTTTTCAGTTTGTTAGCAGCAGCCATTTACCAGATTTGGAAGGTGAGGAATGAAGTCCAGCATGGCCAGAAATTGATGGAAATTGGAGTTGTGGAGGAACAGATTAGACAAATGCTGAAATGGAGGGTGAGTGCTGTATGTAAGATGTACAGACCTAGTGAGAAGATGTTTTTAGTAAAGATAGGCATTGATGTATGAAGTGTTGATAGAGTTTTAATGTAATAGTTTTCTGTAGTAATGTAGAATCAGAGTTGAGTGAATTGTGTAAAGCAGGGTTTTGATGTACAAACTGGTTTTGTGGCAAAGTTAATACAAATTTAACCCTTCACCGAAAAAAAATAATACTATATAAATCCGTATTATTATTTTTATGCTTAGTATGAATAATGTGTAAATTTATTGTGAATATTGTATCCTATAGTTATGAACAATTACTATTTCTATGTTTTGCATGAACTGTGTGTAAATGTAGTATGAGCATGATGTGCATATAATTTATCTATTTTTAAAATCCCTTTATAAGAGGTTTTGCTAATATTTTGAGTATTAGTGTGATATTTATGTGATTTTATCTTTGATTATAGGAATTGTACTCAAATGGACAAGTTGTTGAAGTTTTGAGTTAAATCGAATGAAAAAGCAACTCTGGTCTTGAGTATTGGGTTTGGCCGAAAGTTGCATGGCTGAAGAAGTATTTGATTTGTGGCTTGGTTTTGGAGTCCAAGATCTATGGGCTGGATGGCCATTTTGTGTAATGCCCCGGGTTAGTTTAGTATTTGAAGTTAGTAGGGGGGCTGTCTTGCAATAATTGGTTAGTCATAATATCCAAAGTCAGCATTGTAAACAGTATGGAATATTCAGATAATTGAAAACTCAGAACGGTTAACCGTTTCTTCCCCTTTTCTTGTTTTTCCGACGTCTTCCCGACGAAGGACTTTTTGCCATTTTGTCATCGGATAATCTCCGGTCCTGACAATTGGTATCAGAGCTAATGATCCTCAGATTGTTAGCTCATATCAGATTCAATGGATTTCACTGTTGACGCTTCCGCTACTGTCGAGGTCGACCACCGGTATTCAATCGGCGGCGAGTTTTGCAGAATCACGGCGCAGAAATCATCGGAGTACGTCTTCGTTCTTCCGGATGGCAACATCTGAGCTCCTCGAGATTTTCACGGTGAAGATGACACTGAGGAGTGGCTTCAATATTAATACTACTTCTGTGTCCGATTGATAGTTCCAGAGGAGGATAGGGTCAATTGGGTGCAACAATGGCTTTTCGGAGTAGCTCAGAATTGGAATCAAGAATTTAGGTCCGTGAATCATCATTTTTCTTGGGAGGAATTTTCCGAGGGTTTTGTCCGTCGATTTGGCGTTCATGACATGGATTCGCTGGTGATCGGTTCGTTCGATTGGGAGGAATTCAGACGCAAATTGCGGAAGGAGTTGGAAGACTGTGTCAACAAATTTTTTGAGTCGCTCAAGAAGCCTAGCTTGGATTTTGAAAAAGCTTCAGTGGAGATGAATATTTGTACTTCGGATTCTGATCAAGATTCCAGTCAAGAATTCTCGACCGATCCGAAAACACAAAAGCAGGGTAATTCCTTTTTTCAAGAAATTGATATTTTGGTTTCCGTTGAAGAATTCAATGATGATTCTGTGATTTTTGATGCCGTTAGTATTGAAAAAGATGATTTTAGGATTGAGATGTTTCGTGATGATTATGAATCCATGCAAGAGTCTTTGGTTTTTTGTCTTGAGTCTGAAATGGTTAATGACGAATGTCTTGGAATGCTTGTTGGAAATGCTAGTATTTGCCTTGGTGCTAATGACTCATTCATTGATAGTTCTCTGTTCTTAGTCACGACCAAGGGTGACACTGCAAAATTTAGTAGAGGTTTGTGAAGGATTTGAAAGGATGAAATTAGTTTCTGATGGCAGAAATATGTTTCGACCTTGGGATAAATTGACTACATGTTTTAGTGGAGGAACTATTATTTTCGAACTACTTGTAGCTGCGTTTGGTGACAATGGTGCCAGTGATGATAGTTTGGGAGTAAGGAGTATTCTTAGCTGGGGGATTAGACTGAATTTCTTTGTGTTTGATCCTGGTGAATGGAATGAGTTTTTCAAGGTTAAGTGTTCATTTGAGGCTGAAAAATGTGGGCACTCTATTGATAAAAATGAACTTGATAAGTGGATGATCCTTATTGATCCGGGAGGATTTTTATGTGACTTTTGTTTTGAGGGTTCAGTGGTGATGGAAAAACCATGATAAGAAGAGAAGATTTAAGAGTGAAGGTGCTGAGTTTGTAAGCTTAAATGCATCTGGAAATTTAGATGTACCTTTTGTGGCCAGTGTTAGTTCTTGGAACCAAAATGCTGTTAAGGGAATTAGTCTTCGCAATTTATGGGAAGATCAGGGTAAGTATCATGATGAGGTTCCAAAAGTTTGGGCAGTTTTGGTGTCAAGTTTTGAAGGTGGCACTGTTATCAGAAGATCACTTAAACTCCAACTTGATGACTTCAATACTGACATGATAGACTTTAAAGTAGTTCATACATTTCACAACCTGGAGGGTAAGGTTGTTTCCAAGGAGGGAGGAATTGCGATATGGAAAATATGGGAAGTTAATTTGTTATTGCTGTTATTGGTTGTTGCTGCTGAGGAGACTTTAAACTTCGAGGAGCAGGCTGATTTTAAAAAGATGGCATTGGCTGGATTGCAATTGTGGAAATTGGTGGTCAGAGAGTTGGAAGTGGAGCTTTTCACCTACAAGGTCTTTTGGCATAGTTGAGCGGTATGTTGGAAGTTGCTGTTATTGGGAGTTTTCAATTTGCCAATTGCAAAAGTAAGATGGAACAACTGCAGGAAGTACAAGACTTGGTGATCTTCCTTGAAGATGAAATGATGGTGCTAGCTGCAATGGTGTTTTGATCAGATTGGTTCGGCGATCTATTAAGGAAGAAGGATTACTACAAGGGAACTGCATTCGTTGTTAAAGCCAAATCATCCACTGCACTGGGAGAGTCTTTCAAGTCTTGGATTGTGGTGGCAACAACTTTCAAAGGGAGTAAGCATCCTCACCTACTCGCAGGAATTGAAAACTTAGTGAGTAGCTTCAAGGTTAAAGCAAGGTTCATGTTACCATTTCATGGCAGCTGGGTTCAAATGACAAAATATGGGCCACCATTTGCTTATGCCACATTACAATTTGTGCATTGGGGAAGCACAATTGGAACTACTTTTGGAGCATGTGAGGTATCATCAACCCCACCACATTGGTTCTTTATGCTTCAAGCTACAGTTTCTCATTTCTGTGAACAACTAGTTGTTGGGTATGGGGATCATTTCTTATTGCCATTTCTTAGGAATACAAGTCTTGAGGTCAAGACTTTGTTTAACGGGGCCCCGGGTTAGTTTAGTATTTGAAGTTTTTAGGGGGGCTTTCTTGTAATAATAGGTTATAAATATCCAAAGTCAGCGTTGTAAACAGTATAGAATATTCAGATAATTGAAAACTCATAACGGTTTACCGTTTCTTCCCCTTTTCTTGTTTTTCCGACGTCTTCCTGGCAAAGGACTTTTGGCCATTTTGTCACCGGATAATCTCCGCTCCTGACATTTTGCTTCAAATACTAAGACTTGGTCTGGATCAATTAAGGGAGACCATGCCCTTTTATTTTTGCAGAAGCTTTCGAAAATTTGCTGCTGTTTCTTGACCTCAACGAAACCGAGGGAAGCTTCCAGAAATTAACTCCGATGCTTGAGGAAGAATTTTCCAGTTGCGGCGGTGTTAAAGAGAGCTAAAAAATCGGAGGAAGTACAACACTAATTGAAGGAACAAGCTAACTTAATGTCCAAGAAACTGGGGTTTCAAAAGTCTATATAAAGGGAGTTAGTTTTGAGTTTTTGGACACCACCGAAACCCACACACAAAACTCGACGGCAGCTCTTCTCTTTTCCCCCCTCACACACACCACCGAACCTTCACCAAACACAAAACCCGACGGCATTCCCTTCCTCTCAACCTCCACATCAACGCACCATCATCATCCATCTTCACTCCGTCGAAGCTGAGCTTCCATTAGCCGAGAAGGAGTTGTGCACGCATAGAAGCAAGCAGCAGCAGAGGTGACCAAGTACGGGTGCGAGAGCTTTGGAGTTGCTATCTTCACGGCTGGACACAGTTGCGCCTCTGTGTTCCCCACGGTTCCCTCGTTTTAATTTTAGTTTTATTTACCGAATTTTAGTTCAATGAGCATTATTAATTTCATTTTGTTTTTAATAATGTTTAGTTGCTAAAGTATTTTAACCTAGGGTTTGGATGTAGTCATCGGATTATTTGATTAATTTAATTCGTATTATTTGACTTTTCTATTAATTAATATATGTTATTCTTGTTTTAATTCGTGTAAGTAATTAGCCACTATTTGCATGTTTGAAGATACTAATCGAAGTAGCGAGAGTGGAAGATTAGTATTAGTTCGTAGAAATAATAGACTTAGGTTATAAGCTACGAGAGTAAGATTATAACCTTCACAACTTTTTTATTCTTCAGATCTTAATGTGCTTTTGTAATCCCTATAGTCACAGGAGTAGTCATAGGGTTAATCTAAGTAAAAGAATTATAGCGCGAGAGTGTGTAATTCTTAATTAGGTGAATCGTTGTGAGCTTAATGGAAGTTAAAAGTAAGATATTTATGAATTGAATGAAACCAAATATTCGATAGGTGAAGCCAATGTCCTAGATTTCTCCAACTTGATTGTTTTAAACCTTATAATTTATTTGCAAGATTTTAGCTTTAGTTTTATTTTAATCTAAAATTTGAGATCATCATTAGTCTAAATAATAAAAAGAAATAGTTTATAACCGGTACTTAGTTTTCCTTTTTTATCTGTACGACCCTATTTTCCGCTATACTAGTATTAAGTAGGTAATTTTATTTGACTAGTGGTCACGAAGGCTTGTCAGAGCATTGTATTTTATGGTTATGAACACTTCTTTTTCCTTTTTTAGTATAAAAAATGTGTAGATTTATTATGATCATTGTAACCTATAATTATGAACATTGTATATTTATAAGATAATATTTGAAATATGTGTTTTCTTTGAATGGTGAACTTTGTCCAAAATCAGCATGAATTATGTTTAGATGAGTGTGAATGTGCACCATATAAAGAATGAGATTGCATTGATATTAACATGAAAATTTAGTAATAAAATAAAGAAATTTGTTTATGAAAAGAATGAATTAAGTAGATACATAAAAAATTCAATTTGGTTATCTATCTATATATTAAAGGAGAGTTGATCATTGAACACGTGATGCTCAATTAGGCTTTCAATAGGTTCACTTGACACGTATCGTTTTATTATTGGCTCATCATTAAATCGTAGAAACACATTAGTAAACCGTTAATTAATAAATTACATAATATTAATTTTTATATTGGTTCGATTTATCACCAGACAGAAGAGAACTAAAATACAGAACTGGGAACTTATTTGTAGCGGTCCTCCAAAATCAATCGAGAAACTATCCACCAAAATCCAAGTTGTTTACGAATATATGAAAATCCCTATACAAGAAGCGTCGTCAGTCCGCAAATTGAAGAAGCGTGGCTTTGGTTGACAGAGTCAGCAAGGCAACAACAAAACAAATAGAAGTTGGAAGTCAGCGGCGACAAAGGGGCAGCAAGAACCGAAGCACCAGCAGCAGTCGCAAATTCAAGAAAGAAGCAGCAGCGGCAAACAATAAGCCGCTACGAACAGCAAACAGCAACAATCAACAACAAATAGCAGCAATGGCAACAAGCAACAGCAGCCGCGACGAGAAAGAAAAGCAGCAGTAAGGGAGAGAGTGGACGGAGCAGCGGCAGCAGCGAATCGACTGAGAAGAAGAAGTTGCATACGTACCCAACCTAGACAGCAATACACTTGATCACAAGAGATGGAAGTAGAGAGAAGGTCAGAGGGGAGAACAACAGCGACAATAGGAGGAACAACCGGACGGCAAAGAAAAAGAAACCCAGCCGAGGCTTCAGCCGACGAATAACAGCAGCGGTGGTGATGAAAAATGTCCGCAACATATAACAGCAATAAAGCAAGAAGTGGATGTGATGACGACGCTGGTGATGTTATGTGCCAAGGAAGAAGAAGAAGCAGCGGCGTCCGTGGAATTGAAGACAGAGAAGCAGCAATGACAAGAAAACAATGACAAGAAAAGAAGGTGACCGTGATGTTCAAGAAAAAAACCCTAAAAATTTGATGGCCCAAAAAAAAAGAGGCTCGATACCATGAAAGTGTGAAAACCTTTGACAAGTATTGTATTAATAGTATGGATATATATAATACAATGATATATATATATATATATACAATTACAATATTAATAGTATGGATATATATATATATATATAATACAATGATATAATATATACAATTACAATAATGCACTAACCGTGTTGCTATCCTAAGTTGATTTCCTCATTGGCCCTTGGCCAAATCAGAATTAAACCGCTGCTATCCCAATTCAATTTCCTCATCGGCCTTTGTAAACTCAAGCAGGTTGTGTTAGCAACTTTTGTGATTAAAAAGAAAATGCTCATATGTGAATTAAGCCTTAATGTCTTCAATTTATTATTCTCTTATGAATTCATCTGTATCATTGATTTGCATAATCTGTTCACTAATTTGTTTTCGCATATATATATATATGTGTGTGTGTGTGTGTGTGTGTGCGCGCGCGCGCGCGTGTGTATGTGTGTGTGTGTGCTTTCTTTGGAATAAAAAAATCCATTCACCAGTATAGTATTTTCGTCACCACTCAAGGAAAAGTATTTTTATGGCCTTTGGTAGGGTTGAGAATTGCTCTAAATACATAGTGTGCCTCCCCAAATTTTTGGTTGCCATTTGTGGTCTTTCATAACTACGTTAGCCCATTAAAACGATCTTAAATCATGTATTGCTCTGACGGTAGTTTAGTTCACCAAGTAATTGTTATTTTAGTCATTAGAGATTTCACTTTTCTTTGAAATACTTGGTGTCTTTTGTACTCTCGACAGTAGCAGCTATTTTGGTAGGATTTCTTTGCTTCCGTTTTTTATGTGGAGATAGTTTTTTGTTGTGCTTTGCTTAACGTAAGGGTGTAAAAAGTAGAAATTCACTTTTGTGCGCTGAAGGTTTCGATATGCTTTCCGGCCCTTTTCAAGGCCTCACATTAATTGTAATATATGATCAATCTCCTTGCAACTCATATGACAACTTACGTTCCCTTACTAATATTAGTGAGAATTCATTTGCGTTGTGTGAAAATGGTGGCAATAAGGCAATGACAACTTCTTCTTCAGTAGTCAGCTGATGAAAAGATAATCTGTAGGAGAAGCAACAACAAAAGTCTAGAGACCTACTGATTCAGTAGTTTCTTAAGTATGGGATGGCCTACTTTCTTTTAATTTTTGCTTTTTTTTTTGGGCCTTTTTATGCTTCTTAAAATCATTATTTTGTTTGATTATGGATTGGTGTTTTATCAAAAATGATGAAAATCACTGTAAACTTTTTATTAATGATTGTCACGTCCCGAAAAATGTATTAGGGCTCAAGTAATTCATAAAGATGATTTTCACTAAATTCCGTTTGTCGTAACACAAATTTACATGAAACATAAACTTTTATCGGTTAGTTAAAATTTATCTTTCTCTTATATATATGTAAAAAAAGAAAAAGTTATCTTTCTCTTTGAGAAACAAGGGGAGGGACTCATATCTCATAATACTATGGAATAGTTTATTACAAGATGAATTTGAATATGATAGTTTCAAAAGATTTAATTAAAAATAAATAATTTTAACACAAATATAAACTGTATGGTTTTTATGGTTATATAAAATGCATGCATGTATGATTTGCTTCAATTATTAAATATCTTTAAATA